CTTACCTGGCACTCGTTGCCTCACTTACCTGCCTCACTTACCTGGCACTTCAGTTGCCTCACTTACCTGGCACTGGCACTCATTGCCTCACTACTGCACTCAGTTGCCTCACTTACTTTCACACTTACGTGGCACTCAGTTGCCTCACTTACCTGTCAGTTGCCTGTTTGCCTCACTTACCTGGCACTCGGTTGCCTCACTTACCTGGCACTCGATTGCCTCACTTACGTGGCACTCAGTTGCCTCACTTACCTGACACTCAGTTGCTGGCACTCAGTTGTACCTGGCACTCAGTTGCCTCACTTACCTGGCAGTCAGCTGCCTCACTTACCTGGCACTCAGTTGGCACTCAGTTGCCTCACTTACCTGGCACTCAGTTGCCTCACTTACCTGGCACTCAGTTACCTGGCACTCAGTTGCCTCACTTACCTGGCACTCAGTTGCCTCACTTACCTGACACTTATTTACATTACGTACTCTTAGTATTCACTTGCATCACGTGTCACCTTACTTACCTGTCACCCATTAACTTGGCTCTAAAACTTACATTTTCCTTAACTGGTGCTTACTTTCTTTACTAATATTTCCCGGAGCCCTTGAAACTTAAGGACCAACAATGGCACCCGTGTCTAACTTCATTATTTAGATATGTGTGTTTTCTTACCTAGAAATCGAACTTGGAATAGGATTTGGAGCACGATGGACATCACAGCCAGGAGAATTCGATTCCGCAAATCAGCGACTGCGATTTCTCTTGTACAGTTCAACATTTTACACTCGCGACCCCTTTTGCATAAACATATGCGTGACCCCCAAGATTATTTTATTTATTTTTCTTTTTTATTAATTAATAAATTTATTTATTTTTGTACATAATTTTAAGCTAAGAAGCTAAATCGGTAATCAGAGCAAGCTATTTTTACCCATTTCAGTTGCCTCACTTACCTGGCACTCAGTTGCCTCATTTACCTTGCACTCAGTTGCCTCACTTACCTGGCACTCAGTTGCCTGGCACTCAGTTGCCTCACTTACACTCAGGCACTCAGTTGCCTCACTTACCTGGCACTCAGTTGCCTCACTTACCTGGCACTCAGTTGCCTCACTTACGTGGCACTCAGTTGCCTCACTTACCTGACACTCAGTTGCCTCACTTACCTGGCACTCCTGGCACTCAGTTGCCTCACTTACACTCAGTTGCCTCACTTACGTGGCACTCGTTGCCTCACTTACCACTCAGTTGTCTCACCTGGCACTCAGTTGCCTCTAGCACTGGCAGTTGCCTCACTTACCTGGCACCAGTTGCCTCACTTCTGGCACTCAGTTGCCTCACTTACTGGCACTCAGTTGCCTCACTTAGCACTCAGTTGCCTCACTTACTGCACTCAGTTGCCTCACTTTGCCTCACTTACCACTCAGTTGCCTCACTTACTGCCTCACTTACCTGGCACTCAGTTGCCTCACTTACGTGGCACTCAGTTGCCTCACTTACCTGGCACTCAGTTGCCTCACTTACCTGCACTCACTTACTCAGTTGCCTCACTTACCTGGCACTCAGTTGCCTCACTTACGTGGCACTCAGTTGCCTCACTTACCTGGCACTCAGTTGCCTCACTTACGTGGCACTCAGTTGCCTCACTTAGCACTCAGTTGGCACTCAGTTGCCTCACTTATTGCCTCACTTACCTGCCACTCAGTTGTCTCACCTGGCACTCAGTTGCCTCACTTACCTGGCACTCGATTGCCTCACTTACCTGACACTCGATTGCCTCACTTACCTGGCACTCAGTTGCCTCACTTATGCACTCAGTTGCTCACTTACTGGCACTCAGTTGCCTCACTTACGTGGCACTCAGTTGCCTCACTTACCTGACACTCAGTTGCCTCACTTACGTGGCACTCAGTTGCCTCACTTACTGCCACTCAGTTGCCTCACTTACCTGGCACTCAGTTGCCTCACTTACACTCAGTTGCCTCACTTACCTGGCACTCAGTTGACACTCGGTTGCCTCACTTACCTGGGTTGCTTACTGGCACTCAGTTGCCTCACTTACCTGGCACTCAGTTGCCTCACCTACTCAGTTGCCTCACTTACCTGCACTCAGTTGCCTCACTACCTGCACTCACTTACCTGGCACTCAGTTTCACTTTGCACTCAGTTGCCTCACTTACCTGGCACTCAGTTGCCTCACTTACCTGTCGCTCAGTTGCCTCACTTACCTGGCACTCGATTACCTCACTTACCTGGCACTCGGTTGCCTCACTTACCTGGCACTCGATTGCCTCACGTGGCACTCAGTTACCTCACTTACCTGGCACTCAGTTGCCTCACTTACCTCAGTTCCCTCACTTACCTGGCACTCAGTTGGCACTCAGTTGCCTCACTTACCTGGCACTCAGTTGCCTCACTTACTTTGGCACTTGCCTCACTTACGTGGCACTCAGTTGCCTCACTTACCTGACACTCAGTTGCCTCACTTACCTGGCACTCAGTTGCCTCACT